GGCTCCGGGAGGGGGGAGCGAGGGGGCGGGACATCTGTCAGCGGCGGCCGTCAGCGGGGCGGGCGCAGCCAATCGGCGTGGCGCTGCCCCGCCCACTCGAAGGGGGCCCCGGCACCGCCCCGCCCTCCCCTCTCCTCCCCTCAGCACCGCGCTCGGCCGCCATGGCCTCGCCGCCGTCCCCGCCGTCCCTCCGGCGGGCCGCCGCGCTGCTGCTGGCGGCCGCCTTGCTGCTGCTGCTGACGGCCCCGGCGGGGTTGAGCGCCGCTCCGGAGGAAGAGCCCGGAAAGAAGAAGGAGGCGCCGCCAGCGCCGGCGGCGCAGGGAGCGGAACCGCGGGCTGAGGTGAGGCGAGGCGGGGCTGGGCCCGGCCTGCAGGGCGCCTCGCCTTCCAGAGGCCAACGGACCCGAAACTCCCCTTCTTTTAGCAGGAGGAGGGACGGCTGCAGGGCCACAGCAAAGGAAAGCCCTGCAGATTTCCCTTTTTTTGTTGAAAGAGGGGGAATTTAGGTCCGTTATGACAAACGGACTAACGCTTTTCTTTTCACCAGATAAGTATTTTTTGTGCCCTGCTTGCTTGCATGCTGAGGGGGCAAACCCTTCAGGTCTTCCTCACAGAAGCAGGTGAAAGCAGGCTTTGTTGTGGCTCAAGACCTGCCAGGTTGTTTTTTTCCTTCAATATTTAAGTTTAATTTTGAGGGGTTAAAACTTTTTCAAGTGGCGTTCTTGGTTAGGGGGTTCCAGTGCCGGGTGAGCACACAGAGGGATGAAAAAACTACTAACATATGGCTTGATGTAGCACCTAGAGCATGCCCAGTTTTAAATATCAACCCCCCCAAAAAAGAAAAATTTACAGTACTGCTAAAGGTGAAGGAACTGTGGGAAGCCACCCTGTGCCATAGGGAGCATGGAAACTTTTAAATATCAAACCCCCAAAACTTCTACAGCGGGGCTGGCAGTGGAATGCTGGGAAGCCACCCTGTTAAAACACGTCGCAGTCTGTCTCTGCCGGTGGATGTGCTGCAACAAGCTTTCTCTGGTCAAGCCTCTGAACGTCGACTTCCTCGTGCTGGGTCTGGCTTTTAACTGCATGCCTCTTAACCCCTGTAAAAGTCAACGTTTCAGTTAACTGAGACTTGGAGTCCTCTGGTCTGGCTTGACTGCTGGAAAGTCTCAAAAGTTAGTTTTCGACAAGTGTAGAGCATGTACAAAAAAAGTTAATGAAAACTTGTGTAAAGTTTTGGCGCGCCTGGGATGCAGAGAGTCTGCAAGGGAAGAAAAGTGATTCTGACAATTCTTGAAGTGGCTTCGTATTTCTGCTAAGCTATCCTAGTTGCCTGATTTTAATTTGAAGAGTCAATTTTTTAATATTTATATCAGAAAACTGCTTGTTTGGTGAAGGTCATAACGTAAATAGCCAGGGGTTGTAAAGAGAGCAATATTAGAGCTGAACTAATGCGACTTTCCCCGTGTTTTGTTGCAACAGTGGTTCTCGTGTCCTGGTAGTAGTGTGCATAGTGAAGTGTTGCTTTAATTATCAGTGCCCAATCTGATCTTCTTGCTAAGTGCCTAGCTAGCAATTTGAGGTGGGTGGCAGCCAGTATCTAGTTAATGATCATTAATGCTGCGTGTGAGATATATACTTAAAGTGTCACACTTTATGGTATGATATGACAGGAGAAATAGAAGGCTCAGTGCTTCTGTGAACTATATTCAAGTATAATTAACTGGTGGGGTTTTTTTGTTGTTGTTTTTTTTCCCCTCCCTCTTACAGAAGGGGTCCTCGCCGGTTGTTCCAGTTCACATTGTCAACGAAGAATCAGCTGACAAGACTAATTTGGGCTTTATTCATGCCTTTGTGGCTGCCATATCGGTCATCATCGTCTCGGAGCTGGGGGATAAGACCTTCTTCATTGCAGCCATCATGGCGATGCGGTACAACCGTCTGACTGTGCTGGCTGGTGCTATGCTTGCCTTGGGACTGATGACGTGTTTGTCAGGTCAGCACTCCTTCCTTTTTGTCTATCAGTAAATTTTGATTGAAATTGAAATGTCTTTTGAGGAGAGCATGAAGGTTTTCCTGGGGACCATGGCTCAGATTGAATATTTAGGCTTTTCCCTGTAATGAGGTGTTTGCGCTCCCTAGGCCTCGCTGTGAGTTTAAGGAAGAAGCTGGGAGCCTAAACACTTCTTTTGATTTTTGGGCCGCCACTTTCCTTTTTATTTTTAGCTGCTGTTAAATTAGTGTGCCCAAAGGGAATGTGGGAGTGACTTCTCTTCTTCCTCCTAAGGCGAGAGATTCTTAATATGATGACAAATCTCCCTCGCCTGACTTCTGTCCCTGCATGTGTAGCTGTTTGGGTTTGTGCTGTATAAGTGGAAGGTGACGTTCTGCCGTGGTCCTTCAGGATGGGTGACGTTGGCAGAGCCAAGAGTTGGGGAAGCAGCGAGGTGTTGGGTGGCACTTGGGGAACCTGTAGCTGTGGGTCCTTCCATAGCAGTGACCATAAAGTGGTGCAGCCTTCAGGTTTGTCAGGTGCAGCATGAGTTTTGGTGTAGGTGTGCTCATTTCTAACTATGTCCATTTCAGAAATAACTGAAGTAGTGTTTATTGGTTTTTATATATGTTGGAGACAGACAATTAACTGGCTTCAGGCTTCTCAGGAAACGTTTCTCTAAATGTTTTTTGGATGTGTAGCTATTGCTATATATATTGCTGCAATTATTGCTGCAGTTTTGGAGCAGTTTCCATTTGCACTGTGTGTAATGATAGCATTGTAGGAGTTTCTTCGATTACTCACTTAATATTACAGCCTTTGATGCTTCTTCCACTTCTGCACTGCTTGCTTCACTTAATGTTATTTAGTACTGCAGGTGATGCATAATTCTGTAAATCTTGCAATTTCTTTTCTCCTGTCCATCACAACTCTCCCATTTTCTATGCTAAGTCATCTTCAAATCTTTCTTTCTGCTTTTTTATGAAAGCTTTCTTTTCAGCTTTATCTTCCTGTTTAGAGGTTCCCAACTATTCTTTTTCTAGAAAGAAGCCTCTTTTTTTTTATTATTTTTTTCTTCTTACCTCTCTACTGCCCTTGTTTTATACAACCCTGGAAATTCCTAGGGTTTTTTTTCCCGCCTTGATTTCATGAAAATGTGCTCACTTAAACTCACTGGCTCCAAATGATCACTACTTGGGATTTTTGTTTTTTCAAACTGTGCTTAGAGACAGCTCTACCCTTATGACAAAATAAGTTGCCTTATCGTTCTGATTATTTCACTATTTCTATGCAAGTAATGCTAAAAAAAAATTAGTATCTTCTAGTATAGTTTCTGGCATTGCTTTACTTCAGTATTTTCAGTCTTTAATAAAAGTTTAGTTTAACTCCTTTTTTATTTAGCTATGCAACTAATTTATATATGTATTTGCCATGTTTTGTGATAGTACAGCCTGATTAATTTTGGTCTTTTGGTAGTGGCAGTGCGGATTAATTTCCAGATTATGTAGTAACTTCTGAGTGCATTTTTCAACTAGGAAAGTGTGTGCAAGAAAATACACATGGTAATATGCTTCCTTTCAGCTAATTGCACACGGAGTAGACCAACAGAACCAGTTGTGAGTGCATGGTCCAAGCAGCCTTGAATGTTAGATGTGGAGTTCTAATTTCCTTGCATTTATAAAGGCCTTTTTTATCCAAAAACGCTAACTAGTCTTACTTTGTGAAGAAGCAAGTACTTTGTCCTGGATACATATTTCTTCTTCTTTGAAGAACTAGTGTTGGCTTAGTTTGATTGCCCTGGATACCCATAAAAGTAGATGCACAGTAGAGGTAGCTTTTTGGTCTTTGAGGGGGATCGGTGCTTTTAAATGAAAGGAAGATCAAAGCTGGTCACGTTGTGGGGAGTGTGGGAGAGAAGGGAATAGTAACGTGCAGGTATTTGCACTTGGCAAAAGAAGACAGACATGGATTCGTGCAGCTGGGTGATTTGTGGGTATGTCTAGTAGATTTAACTTGTAGAAAATTTTATTCTAACGTTATCTGATAAATGAAATTACTGGTAAGAGATGCTGTCCAACATGGAGTCATATATAAAAATGGAATTAACCTAACGATACAGATGATAGTTTCATTGCGTGCTTGGGGAAAGGCAGGACTTGCATAGTCCTTGATGGAAAGATGATGTTGCTTGGGCTGGCTCCTGTAAATAGGAGCCCATCCACTTTGCCTGGAGTGCCTTGTCTGCGTGTTAATGGACCTCAGTCTCTGGTATGACCAGCAATAGTTGGAGTTTCTACAGTGTCTCACCGAAAAAATTAGAAAATTATATAAAACTAACAAAGTACAATATTTATCAGTGGGTCTTTGAACAGCAGACTTTGCTAGCCAGTGTTTCTTAGATGTGGGAAAAACAATTATGACCCTCATGCTTATTTTTTTAAATGATGCATTTGTTTTCTTTTCAGTTTTGTTTGGCTATGCCACCACAGTTATTCCTCGTGTTTACACATACTATGTGTCAACGGCATTGTTTGCAATTTTTGGCATCCGAATGCTTCGGGAAGGCTTGAAAATGAGTCCAGATGAGGGTCAGGAAGAGCTGGAGGAAGTTCAAGCAGAAATTAAAAAAAAAGATGAGGAAGTAAGTCCTAAACTTTCTGTGAATTAATGGCTGATGAAATAGTTACAGCTGTGAAGCTGTAGAAGGGCACTGTGATGTTTGGGGTGTTCAGCTGTGTCTGATTGATAATCTGACACAGAAATTTTGTGGTAAATGGGGCAGAAGTGGCCCCTGGAGGCTGTTTCAACAGGTTATTCCAGTTCTGTGGCAAGCCTGGCTTCTCAGGAAAAATGGGACTTTCTCCATACAGTCCTTTTGGTTGGTTGGTTCTTAATGCATTACTAGCAGAAAGCTCATCAACAGTTTACTCTCTTCTCTGCTTTTTATTTCTTTTTTGTAGCTGAGGTTAATAGTGTTGTAGCAAAGGTTATTGTTATAACTTTTTAAATATGCTGCTCCACTTCTAAGGAATAGTGTGGAGTATTAATCTTATATTTTTTTTTCCATTAATTTTATCAAATCCTAATTTGAGAGCTACCACTTGGGAAGAGGGGGATCCCTGACTTAAAAAGGAGGAAACCTGTGGTTAGAAAGAAGGTGTCATTCCTGCATTTCCTGACACTGCTGTGTAAGTGTAAGCAGTACAAGGTGGACAATAACTGGAGGTTAGAGGTGGTTATAAGTATATATATATATCTGTGTATATGTACACACACATACGTGTGTGCATATATGTTACTAGTTTTTTTAATTGGTGTCTAATACAAATATTACATGGATAATGCAGTGGTCAGTGGCTAATAATTCCAAGTACTAAATGTCTAGCTCTACTGTTAAAGTATTTCATTTATGTTGTTTAGATGACATTTCTAATCTTATGGTTGGGTGTTTTTTTTTGTCCTCCCCAGCTCCAGAGAACCAAACTGTTAAATGGGCCAGGAGACGTGGAGTCAGGGCCAGGCACCACCATACCTCAGAAGAAGTGGCTCCATTTTATTTCTCCAATCTTTGTTCAAGCTTTCACTTTAACGTTTTTAGCAGAATGGGGTGATCGTTCCCAATTAACAACCATAGTCCTGGCCGCCAGAGAGGTGAGTGTTGCAGGAGGTACCAGCTTCACACCTGCTGCCTTGCTGTGCCTTGGTGTTACAGCTGTGCTGAGACCTGAACAGAAATGCACTGAAGCTCTCTGTAGTATTTAAACTATTGTTACACGATCGGGACTGCACAGACGTTTCTGGAAATAGTTGTTTAATATCACGCAGTTGAATGCAATTGTTCTTGTCACAGTGCTGAGAGATGTTACAGAACCTCTGCTCCTTTGATCTGTGTGGTCATACAGTTTTAACACAGGAGCTTTAAAAAGAGACCTCCATCAAAGCCAACTTAAAGACAACTTTTTAAAAGTTTTTTAAAAGTGAATACGGTACAGTGTATAGAACTAAAATAAACTCTAAACTGCTGTGCAGTAGGTAATACTGTAAATGAAATTATGTTGAGCACGATGATTGGAATGTATATGACTGTATTATATTTAAAGGAAAATTAAGGCTTATAGTCAACATTTTAATGAGCATAAATAGCTTGCCTGTGTTCTTTCATACATTGAGATTATTTACATTTTTCCCCTAGCTCTCCTGCTTCTTTCAGTGGACTGTCAGACCTTCCCTGGGGGTAAATCAGGGCTGTGTATGAAGGAGTCTATAATCTGTAGGAACCTCTTGTCTCTGTTACAGTGCAGGGAAGGTGCTTAGAGCTCAGGAGGCAGAGAACAGCAGGACAAGAGGGTGATCTCATTGTTCAGGCAGTTACATGCCACGTTGGAAAATAAGGAATCATTTCTGCTTCTTCCCAAGTTTTCATGTGGTGCTGGGCAGGTTCCTTAAGCCCATCTTTTCACAGCTGGTGGTTGACTTCTGGTTTGCATTTTCTGAGTGTCCCATTAGGAAGTGTCCATCAGACTCCACCATCTCATCTGTGAAGTGCTGAGCATTGCAGCTGAAGACTGTGGGATGTTGTGCCTTTAGCATATGAAGTGTTCTTATAAGTACTACAAAGACAAATACTGCAAAAAATGAATTGCAGATATCTTAGTCTTGGCTTTCAAAATCAGTGCATGATTATGATCTGGATCTTTATTCATTTTATCTGTGGGATTCTTCTGTACTCCTTTGCTTCAGAGTATTTTTAGATGAATCCTTGTTTGTGAAGTACTAAGATACGTAGCAGGAGTACTACAGAAGTGCTTATGAGGAAATAAATTATAGAGATTTTTGCGTAGTGTGGTAAGTCAGCTGGGACCATACATTCTCCAGTGAAGAGAAAACAAAATACTACATGACTGTTCATTAAGTGAGTAGTATCTGACCTGTCATAACAAACCAAGAGGGCTCTTTTAGAGGGGATAAAAAGGGTGATAATTTGGCTATCTCAGTGTGTAGACCAGGGGAATGAGTTAAGTCTGTCTTCATGAACCTAGTCCTGACAACAGTCCTTAAGAACTTGATTTTACACCCCAGAAGTTTACTGTGTATAAGAATTGTTCATCTGCTTAAGGAAAGAGAAAAGGAAGCTCCATCATGTCCTACGGGACTGGCTTTGCCTCAGCTGCTGTGTCTGAGCACTTCTGCTCCTGGAGACACCGCGCTGAGGGAAGGGCTTCTTGAAGGGCTTTCCTACCTGCTTGTGGTTCTGGTCTTTTGGCCTGTCAGTGTTGTCTTCTCTTCATATAATATCATTTTAGTTTTGCTGTTTGCCTGTTAGAGATTTCATGCATTCCTCGTGTGATGGCAGCAGCTTTTTTTCCTCTCAGCTAAAAGTCTTACAGAGAAGTGCAGGAGATTCAGCTCCAACTTCCCTCATTCATCTTCGTACAGCAGAAAGTCACGTTCCTACCTTGCCTTCGTTATCTGTCATTAAAGATTGTTTTCAGCTTCTAATTGTTCCGTTTTATGAGGTGTTCAATAGGTGTGCTGCCCTTAACTGTGTCAGGAGATCTGAGAAACGTCTTGAGGTAGAAGAGTTATTCACATATTGAGTAGCTGCTTGTTATGCAGTGATGTGAAAGCTGTCAGCAACAACAAACTTTAACAAGTTTGTTATCCTCTGGGCTTAAATTCTCTCATACTTCCCTCTTTGGGTAACTCAGGGAGGGGGGAAGAGTGGAGAGCACAAGAGCACACGCTTGTGAAGCTGGACAAAGGAGGCAGAGTGTTGTAGCTGCCAAAAGCTTTCATTTGCAGTTCCTTGTGAAGCTGGACAAAGGAGTCAGAGTGTTGTAGCTGCCAAAAGCTTTCATTTGCAGTTCGTGGATTTATTTTTCTCTTTCTTTATAATTAGGTTGGTGTTTTTCCAGCTGATGCATATCGTGTTCCTCAACAGCTGCCACCTTCCCTCTAGAGGTTGCTTAATTGTTTAAGTACAGCAGAGTGATTTCTGGGTCTGTATTTAACAACTTGGAGATGCTTCTTGGTTGAAACATGCCATATGTTCCTATATTAGTCAGGTTTAGATTTAAGTCTGTCTCCCTAGGTGAAGTACACTCTTTTTGGTCTTTAAGGCAGTGATGGGCAGCAGAGCAGAGCAAACACCAGAGAGTATCTTCCACACTTGAAGATTGTCCTCGGTGTGCAACTGAGGAATCGAGGCAGGAGGTTGTCATGGAACTTGTGGGTTTCCAGCTGTGCTGATGTTTCCTTTCTGTGTTTCTCCCTCAGGACCCCTACGGCGTGGCGGTGGGAGGAACAGTGGGGCACTGCCTCTGCACTGGGTTAGCAGTTATCGGAGGCAGAATGATAGCACAAAAAATTTCAGTTAGAACTGGTAAGTGCAAACCCCAACCATGACAAATACCTTAATGCTGGTAGTATTTCTGGCGTAAATGACTACGTGCTTGAGAACAGAGTTTCTCAAAACTTTTGGAAGACCCAAAAACTTTATTTTTTGTGAGTCTCTGTCTCCTGTCCCACTGCCCCATAGTCAGCTCCCCGTGTCAGGGGTGACCCTGCGCTGTTCCCCAGGCCGCCTGTCCCTCCTGCCAGGCAGAGTCTGAGCGTGTGCCACCACCCTGCACGGGGTGCTTCTGAGGGGCCCAGCCTTAATTGAACTTAACAATTTACTGGCTCTGATTTAAGGAGTCAAAATGGGGGTTGTAGCTCCATATATAAGATGGACACAGGTGAAGCACGTTTCGCTACGCTGTTAGCTAGCTTGTAGGAGAGGGGAAGAAGGAAATACAGTATTCTGGATACGTATTGTTTGACAGTAAGTAGTAGAAATTCTGTCACAATTCTGAGTGCAGAGCTTCATAGAATCATAGAATCGTCTAGGTTGGAAGAGACCCTTGGGATCATCGAGTCCAACCATCTACCCTACTCTACAAAGTCCTCCCCTACACCATGTCCCTTAGCACTGCATCTAAAAGGCCCTTAAACACACCCTCCACCCCCTCCCTGGGCAGCCTGTTCCAATGCCCTATCACTCTTTCGGTGAAAAATTCTTTCCTGATGTTCAATCTAAACCTACCCTGTTGGAGCTTGAAGCCATTCCCTCTCGTTCTGTCACTAATCACTCAGGTGAGCAAGAGAACTGCAGATGTACAAGTTATGCCAGCCAGAGAAAAGCTTTAAAAGCTACTCTGTGCGTGGCATAATTACTTCTTTTTTTATCATACCTGCTAATCTGTAACAGGAAGGGCCAGTAAGGTTACCTTGGGTTGGTTGTTTTTCCTCAGATGAGGTTGCAGCTTGCGTCAGCTGTCAGTCCTGTCACACAGTGAGGTTTCTCCCTTCCGGGAAGGATTCTGTGAAGCTGCTTCACACCGTGAAGTGTTCATTCAGAATGGCTGTTCTGTAGTTGCAGAGGTTGTAAAAAAAAAACCAACCAATTTCACTGCAAAAAGTGGAACCAGCATTGGGTTGTGTGTGTTTGCCAAGGAAACTGATGATGAGGTGCTAATCTAACAATGATTTCATATGCTCTTAAAAGCTCAGCATGGATCTTTGGCCACAGGAATAGCCTTATTAAATTAGGCCAAAGATCCATCTAGCTCGTTAGCTCATTTAGAGAAGAGTAGAAGAATGGTCCAAATATGGCAGTGCTTTCCTGGGATACTGTCCCAGCCTCCAGCAAATTGTGGCTGTTGCAGGCAGTTCATGGCTTTTATACTGTCTCTCTCATTATAGTTACCTAAACTGTGGAAAAAATGCTAATCAAGTATGTCACTCTTAACTGATGGCTTCCTCCAGCGGGGGAATACTGGGCTTTATTTCCACCCCCTACAGCCAAATATCCAACAGCAGATGTCAGCCTCAGTGTTGGCTGTGGCTGTTGCAGGCGGTTCATGGTTTTTATACTGTCTCTCTCAATATAGTTACCTAAACTGTGGAAAAAGTGCTAATCAGTGTGTCACTCTTAACTGATGGCTTCCTCCAGCATTGTGGCTGTTGCAGGCAGTTCATGGCTTTTATACTGTCTCTCTCATTATAGTTACCTAAACTGTGGAAAAAATGCTAATCAAGTATGTCACTCTTAACTGATGGCTTCCTCCAGCGGGGGAATACTGGGCTTTATTTCCACCCCCTACAGCCAAATATCCAACAGCAGATGTCAGCCTCAGTGTTGGACCAGCTACAGTAACAATAGTAAAACAAAGCTTCCTTTAAGGACCAGAATATATTCTGGTGGATGCAGTTAGACAGCGGGATGGCGCATGGGCTTCCTGACACAGGGCTGGAGACAGCGTCCAGTGTTCGCAGCGTAAATCTTAAAGTAAGATTATTTAGGAATTGGACACTTAAAAAAAAAGAAAAGTTAAAATCTGCAATGTGTCATGGAAGATATTTAACTTTCAGTACCTAATTTCATTTTGGTTTGCTTTTTCTTTTCAGTGACAATCATAGGAGGCATCGTCTTCTTAGCATTTGCATTTTCTGCACTATTTATAAGTCCAGACTCTGGTTTTTAAAAATTTTTTCGTCACTGCGGAAGAGCAAGGATTGAAAGCAGCGAGCAGCTGTCCTTGTGCATCTTTGTATATAATGTACAGAATTACAGTTAAACGAGCACTGAAGATGAGACACTGAACTTTTTATAGCGAGTGATTGATGGGACCGAGGCGTTTGGGGATGGCTTCTGCCGTGGAGACCTGCTTGGTGTCTGCTTTGTTCACTCTCTGGTGCCTGCTCCCTTGGTGGCATCTGCCTGGTTCTCTTGCTCGCCGGACCCGGCTCAGCTGAGTTCTGAGGATCTTCCTCTTTTCTCCCTCTGTTACACGTGGCCACCTTTCCTCTTTCTTCAAGAGTTGACTCTTCAGGCTTCTCCAAGCAGACGCTGGCTTGTTCCTCAACAGACGGCGTTCAGGAGAGAACCCCTGGCTCCCCCCTCCAAGGACATCGGTTCAAGGTGCGCCCGAGGCTGGATAACTGAAGCAACAAGAAACCTGGGAGCAGTTCCTATGGCAGTGTCACTCAACAGACGGCGTTCAGGAGAAAACCCCTGGCTGCCCCCTCCAAGGACATCGGTTCAAGGTGCGCCCGAGGCTGGATAACTGAAGCAACAAGAAACCTGGGAGCAGTTCCTATGGCATTGAGTGGCTGAGCCACCAACAGAGAGTTTTATACGCTAAATTTAGAGGGAAAACTTCTTAATCAGGGATTTTTATCAGGAAATTGCTGTGTGGTGATTAACAGCCTACCATGTTCAATATGCAATCTGTCTGGAGTTGGGATTATTTGACTTCTCTTTTTTTTTTTTTCCAATTTTGAAATATTAAAGTATACAGAAAGGAATAAAATGGTCCAAGTTAACAATATTCCATTCCCAGGATTGAACAATAATGGAATCCTTAGATTTAGATGTGTTCCTGTTTTTCTTTTTAGGAATAGAAATGTAATCTGGAAGAGTATTAATAAAACACAGTGTCTCCATTTGAGGTTTTTTTCAGTATTGTTTTTGAAGGTTCCCGTAATTGCCACAAAGGCCATCATGTACCTAAGGTAAGGAAAGCTCACTAAATTTATTTATTTTGGGTGTTCATAAATGCTAGTGTTATAAGGACTTTGAAAATGTTGACCATTGAAGATTTGTGTGTTGCAGCAAATGATGCTTTTCCGTGCTCTGCAGTCATGATTTGGATTCTGAGCTCGTGGCTGAAATAACCCAGTAAGATCTACTCAGTAAGAGTCTGTGAATAGAAGGTAGGGGTTTAATATTAGGAATTTAGGGGTACAAAGATGCTGAGGGGCCTGGAGCATCTCTCTTGCCAGGAGAGGCTGAGGGACTTGGGTCTTTTTAGTCTGGTGAAGAGAAGGCTGAGGGGGGATCTGAGCAACGCTGATAAATACTAATACGGCGCAAAGTGCAGCCGGCAGCGATTCAGGGCAATGTCTGCTCTTCCCTCCTGCAGGGACAAAGTTTTCCAAGGGAAACCTGTTGAACCCTGTTCACAGGCAGCTCCCGGGGCAAAGAGGGACAAGGTGCTTGGGCTTGCAGGTTTGAGGTACGTTAGCCACCTACCAAGCCTGGCAAGGGCCAGTTTTTACAGCACGGAAGGGATCTGGAGGTTGATTCTCCTGCGTTTCACTCCTGGATTTGGTATAATTAAAAAAAGAAATAAATCTCAGCTGTTGAGGGAAGAGCATCGGGCAGCTTCATCTCAGTGTAACCTGAGTTACCCTTCATTCCCAGAGACACGGGGACACCGATGGAACGGCAGGTGCCAAACTGATGGGGGGTTTCTGTAGCTGACCTGGTTCAGCCCCAGAAGTTGGGGGTCACCCCCTGGTGAGTCAGAGCTCCGGGCTGTGCCCAGCCTCGGGACAGGCTACGTTTAACCCTGAACATTTTCTGTCCGTTGGCAGTTGTGGATTTAAATTTACTTCCCAAGTGAAGCTCCAGGTGCCGAAGGGGTGCAATGTGTGACAGAGACCCCCTGCTACAAAGAATCCCACCAAGACCAGGGAAACTGTTCTCCTCGGTCTACGTTACCCTCCAGCAGCTGAAATCTTCTGGAATTCACCTCCCTAATGCCAGAGGCTGGGAAGTGTCACTAACCTTTGGGTCGCTGGACAGGTGCTTACAAGCAGTGTTCTCCTACCCAAGCAGGGCTTTTGTTTCTGGCTTTGCAGGGCAGCAGAAGGTGGTGGAGCAGCAGCTCTAATCACAGCTCTTCTTCTGGATAAGCGCCTGGAAAAATGTATCGATATTGCCAAAGTTCAATTTTAAGAAAACTGATAGCGGCTCTTATCACCGGCGGGCGTTGGCAGCGTTTAACTCGCACTGTCAGGCTGCTAGAGCTGATTTTTGGGTTGAGCCCCGGGGGCGCAGGGGGGGTTTGTGGCATCTGGAAGTAGCATAAAGCTCGCCCAATTATTATGATGATTTAATAATTCCCCAAGGAAAAAGCTCGGTACCTTCACGTAGAAAGAACAGAACTACAGGGCTGTCAAAATAGCTCAGCCCATTTGTCATCGCCTCCAGGCAGATTCAATTAATGGATTTCCTCCCCTCCCACCTTTCTTTGAACGTGTAATTAATTTCAAATTATTAACGTTCACGCTGGGATAAGGGAGAAAAGGGTTGGACCCCCCACTTGCAGCTCTTCACAGCCAGACCCACCTGCTCTGACAGAGTCTCTGCCTCCTTCCCCAGGGGCAGGGCCCGCATCCCACATCAAAAGGAGGGGGGGGAAAGAATTAAAGGAGGGGGGTTTGCCCCTGCCGGGCTCCATAAATCAGGGGGGGTTTATCCCTGTGCACACACAGAGAGATGGAAGCAGTTTTCACTTGTTGGACACAAGCGCTGGGTGAGGGAACTCAATACCCCAATGGAAGGTCTCCATCCATTTACGAAGAGGTACAGAGAGAAGACAAGAGAAAAATAAAAATACAGTATGCCTTTTTACTGAAATTTCACAATTTTTCTTGGGGGGGGGTGGGGAGAGGAGGTAAAATCAACATCAAGTGACTTCTCACAGGTCGGTTCTGGGGGTGGGGGGAGAGAAAGTGCCTTGGTGCCAGCAGTGGGAAGGGACAGAGAGGGCTCCACCGTGGAACTGGGGTAAAACTGACATCGAGCAACTCGGGGAGGGAGGGAGGGAGGGGGGGGAAACCCAACCGAACAACTTCTGGAACCTTAGAAGCTACAAAAAGCAAAATTTTAAATGAGTTACATTTATTCAGTTAAAAAAATTGACAGTTAGTAATGGTCACATGAACACCAGGGAACTGTATCTACATTTCCTGACGTCAATATGAGCGGCACCGGGGTTTTGTCTGTTTTAACCTTTTGCCTTTACAAATCTAATGCCAGTTTAAAAAAAAAAAAAAA